CCCCCCCCCCCACTTCCCTCTTCCTCGCCCTCTCCCCAGTAATTAATTCTTTGTAAGAGGTGGGGAAGAGTGATAGTGCTGATCTATCACTCTTGCCGTGCTTTCGAGGGTTGATTAGGAGCAAACGAATGTTGCTTTTGATTTCTTGACATACGTTACTATTAATTTGCGGTAAAAATCACTGGCGACGCGCGCCGAGCGGGCTCGTGCGATCATACGTTTTTGCAGTATTTTGTGCTGTAATGTGGTCACTCGGAAACCCAGTAGCTAGAATGTGTGAAATACTAGTGCCCGAAGTTCGGGAAGTTAATTATTACGCGATACTTGAACAGAGGAAATTCCATTAAAATTTCAGCTTCCCAGCTTTCCTAGTCCCGAGCTACGCATTCGCCCGCCAAAAACTTTCACAGGACCATGCGTGAGAATCACGCAAAAAGAGGGGCTGAATTTATTAAATTTAAGTTGTACATGCGCTGAGAACATTGCCTGGAAATTTCAGCCTCCGAGCTTCCCTGGATCTCAAGTTAGCGATTTTCTCGCCAGGAACCTTCACAGGGCCGTACGCGAGAACCATGCATGGCTGGAGGCTGGGTTTGAAATCTTTGTGTTCTATGTGGAAGGGAAACATAATTGCAAATTTTCAGCTTTCTAGCTTTTCTGGTTCCCGAGTTAGCGATTTTCCCGTCAAAACTTTCACGCTTCCGTACGCGGGGCCCAGACTTGCGTGGGAGTTGGTGCCGCGGTCCTGGGGTGGTATTGGTCGGGGAACCCGCAAGCAAAATTTTGGTGCCGGAGGTTACATGGGTGCCGAGTCGGACATACGCACACATACACATATACACACACACACGCGCACCATGGGTCCTCATAATTTGCGTTTTCGGATTTGCATATATGCGAAAAGCACAATGAATGGACGAGTCGCAAAGGAATTGGTTTCCTTATTAATGGCGAAGCTGACACTCTGGATAAGCCTTTCAAAAAAAATAAATAAGCGGAAAAGTAAGTCATTTATTTCAGAAAACAAGCTTACCGGAGTGTCAGTTACAGTAACCTCCAACATTTTCTAATGCATCTGATTCATGCTAAAGCAAACACTAGCCTATCAGTCTCCATGCTTGTCGTACCAATAAAACTAGCTCCTCCTGTTTCTGCGGGACTTGTAGTTTAGCTAAAATTTAATTAAGGCGGGAATCTGCAGTTCAACTCAAATCAATTACGTACTGAATCCTTCCGGACTGCTCTTAGTCGGAAGTCAAGATTCTCGGCTTTCGATTACAAACTTTAAAAAAAACCAAATGGAGGAGTCCTAAAAGCGATTTATTTGAGCGAGTTTTAAATTGCCACGTAGTTGCACTTCACTTTTTTCTGATTTCACTTCTAATTTAATTCCACTCAGTTGTTTCTGGACCACTGCGACAACTGTCAGTCACGTAATCTCTTACCAGCTTCACAATTCCTACATAATGTCCCATTTTTTGCTTACGTCCTTTGGTTATGTTGAAAAGAGATATTAATGATGATATATATAAAACTATATTTAAAAAAAAAAAAAACTGGACGAACAGCAATGCTTCGGTCCGCTAAGCGGTAGAAATTGAATGTCATAATCAAAGACACAATCAAAACTGAGTTAATGAACCTTTTTTAGGCAAAGACTGAGGTCAACCCAGGAAGGCTAGAAGGCCTGCATAATTTGTAGCACTTTAAACCCCTATATAATCCTCATTTGCTCCAAGGAGATTGCTGAAAGCCGACAGTTTGTAATTCGATATCTCTGACAATTTGAACGAACGATGATATACTATACACATGCGATTAAGACGTCTTCTAGTGCACAACTTAGCGGTTCTGGATAATACAACGCTTACACCTAGGCTTAAGCTACTACCGAACAGGAAAAGGAGCAACACCCAGGGAAACAGTTGCCTCAAACCACTAAAGGCGACTGTGCACATATCATCTTGCAATTAGGCACAAAAGAGAACTCTGAGCCCTACGAAAATTTTTTCTAAATGAACCAAAAAGTGCCTGAGCTTTACTAAAAAAAATTTTGTCGGGCGGGAGTGAGGGGAGGAGGGGCCAATGGCTCTGTGGATTCGAGGTGATAAACACCCCATTAAATTATTCCGGAAAATGGCAACCAACCTTTTCCAGCTCCAACAGATGGAAACGTAGCACTTGTATTGATTGTAACATCTAAAAAATGGCAAATCATTCAACTGATATTTAACAAATGCAGCAAAATCTGGTGCAGACGCGTACGCTGCATCAACAGCTGTTGTCTTTATGTGCAACGTAGCTTGCAGGATGGGTAAATCTCACTTCCTCTTATCGCATTTTATAGTTCCTTATTCCTTCCGTCTCTAAACGCGTCGCAGTCAATGACGTACCGTACTGTATGTGGTGTAGGAGACAAAGAAGAGACACAACATACCAATGTGTCGACTTCGGGGTTCGGCACATAAAACGGTTTTTCGTTTTGCATCTGAAATTCGGTTCATTTAGAATATTACTGGTAACTGAGGACTCAGAAAACTGCGCCAATAACAACAGCTGCACAAATTAAGAAGCGCAACAAACTGAGAGTATGCAGAATTAGAAATCGCCCAGGATGCAGCGCGATACAGCGCCCCAGTGCAAAATTCTGACGTGGAAAATGGCTTCCTCGCATGTGCGATGCATGACGGTGAAAGATGAACGACAAATTCCGAGAAGGGCACAGGCATCATAAACAAAAATAAAAGAACCTGCCATGCCAAGGCTAACCATTTTAGCAAAATCGGCTAGGTCGTCCTTGAATGATGCCGATGAGCATACATCATTTGCGGAAGAGGCAGATGAGGTTGACGTTGCAGCACTATCCCGATTGTTCTGATCCCGAGGAGTACAAGTCGCCAACTCGCATTTCTCGAAAAGGCACGATAAAAGCGGGAATAACGGATGGCTGCAACAAAAAAAGTTTGTCTTTGCGCGTACTCGAAGTCCAAGTACTGAGGCGCAATGCACTGCCGTTATCAAATGCCGGCCACACGTTCGAAGTGCTGCGCGGATGTAGAGATGCTGAGTCGCCGACGAGATTCTTCTAGTGAAAGAATCCATGTTGCTGCGCACAGAGATTCAAGCTGCCTTCGCGCGCCTCTCAAGCACTCTTCAAACAAGAGGCTATCAGCATTACGTAGCTTGCTGCACGCAAGTGCAGCGAATAAATTTGAATTAAATACCAGTGCTCATTCTGTCCTCCGAAGACATCTCCATGCTATCCTCTCAATTTTCTTAAAAAACATGCTCTCTAATACGGTACTTCAAAATCGCTCTAATGCAACAAATTCGTATCCCCTTCATCCCCCCGCCTCTCGAGATATCTCACTGTCAGAAGAGCGCACCATAAAGTAACACTGAAGATACTGCATCTATGTGCCTATCAGTGTTACACTTCCATACGCCCACCCTAGGCAGACGCTACAGACTGTAAAAGCCGTGATATTTCGTTGCAATGCAATCCGTACAAAGGATCTGCAGACTGTTCATGTGCGAGTGATGGTGCTTTTGCTCATCAGTGGCGGTTCGCTGATGCAATGCTTAACCACGGGTCAAGAGGAGTCGCATCCTGTTAAGACAGTGATGCCTCCAATCATTCGCTGAACTGATATCTTGGCTCATTTAAAGACTGTCTCTCGATGCTTTCTGCCTTTGTGACCCCTCTCATCAAGCTATGTTTTAGCAAAATACGACAAAAAATCGGAAGAGAATAACTGAGACTGACTTGTAGATAGCCTCCTTATCCCGTTTCATTTGCTCATTGAGCGGATCGGTTAGCATTGTCGGTGGTGCGGAGCCAACCGGCGGATACGCTCCCATACTGAAGTAACCGAGCGATGCTGCTGCTGCTGGATCGGTACCTGCACCGGCATATACATCCGATGCCGTGGGCGGTGGCCCATAACCATCGCCGTACTGTAATTCATACACACATTTTACAATGCCCAGACTACTACACTCTGCACTGTTCTACGGTTAAAATTTAAATTTTTCAAGTCTGTATTTCTTAAACAGTTATTTGGCTGTCCGCACGAATTTCCATCTTTTTTTTTTTTAGCAATTTGACAAATCAGCAAGAAAACCGACTATATGTTCCGTACGAAGGAGAAAACAGCCGCCGGAAAAAAGGCGAGAAAACAATCAGCTGAGAAAGGATTAGCTGCTGCTCCTTGCCCATCAATGCCGAGAGCGGATTACTGGGTCAATTCAACGACTCATTGCTTTTATACAAGCTTTCGGTGCCAAGACGAAATGATGAACATGCAGTTACTTCTGATGAATTACTGCAGCAATAATGTGATAAAGAACGGCCGCAGCTTGCTGATGCTTGCCTTACTCTGTTCCACGGCTACTTAGGACTTGCTGACTTTGTGTATTTCATACGTTACGATCACACTAGCGGAACCAGAAACGTGATGAAAGGGAAGGCTGTCGATTCAATAGCTAACGCTATGTCGTTTTTGGAAAAGCCGTCTCATAACTTGGTTATTAAGTTCTATTATTTTTTTGTCTATCGCCACGCCCCACCTATCATCCACCTGCAGTTTCTGCTTCATGCAGGACATATCTGCCTATGGGCTCAGCGAAGTAATTCTCAAACTGCTAATCGGAATGCTGCCAACATGCGTTAGTTATTTCACAAAGAAAAAGACAGATTTATAGCCCAATTCCCCTTGACGGCATTCACAATCTTTAACAGATTTTGCAAAATGGGCTCTCTACGATAAATCGCTTGCAAAAATGCAACTTTATACGCCAGAAGATTAGGCTGGTCATAAGACAAGAATGAGAGACAACAACGAGAGAAACTAGGCCGCTAATGTTCAACGAAGAGAGACAAGAACGTCAATGAAATCGGAGAAACCATTTAATGCCTGCAGGGGGTAAATTGGACGCTGCGAACTCAAAGCCGGGCAGAATGGCAATGCTACCCACTGGAGAGCGAAACAAAACGATGAAACGAGCTGTTCAAAGCAATAAAGACGAGGATAAAGCCACATCATTTATCAGTGCATGCGACATAATATTGCGTAGGGTCAGACCTCACCGAAATTCTTCGACACAATTATACTACATTTTGGGAAAAACTCAGCAAAATCCAGATTTCCTCACCTAATTTGGACTTTCCAAAAGAAAAATCTTTGGGTGAATTAAAGTCAGATTAGGTGCTAGACATTTCAAACTTTTTTGGTCCGCTTTATAAATTAACCAGTCAGTCCATTCGACGAACTACACCAAAGAAATTTTAAAAAATACACGCCCTGTACTTCATGGATAAATGTCACTAATGAAAAGTCCACTGGTCGAAATTTCAGACCGATTACTTTATACTTAAAAATTAGATTAATCCTTCCTGGTCTAAAGCTGTAAAAAAGTCAAGGCTAGCATTTCTTGGAATAGATTTATTTTTAAAAAACGGCCTAACGTTCAATATTATACTGGTGACAGATTCTTCTAGGGAAGGTCTGGATTCACGAAATAAAGATGTTACTTCAAAGAAAGAAGCTGCGTGGGTAACTTCAAGAAGGTCGAGATTGAAGCCATTCTTCGCTCAGTTCCAGTTCCTACACGCTCATTCAGATATGTGTGCTAGTTCCTCGGAAAAGTGTTGCTTGTTTCGAACGAGCAGTTACCACTTAGTATTCCATCGTAAGGACAAGTTGATGCAGGGGGAGAGGGGAAGGAAGAAAAATATTACCCAAACGTTATCACCAATTACCGGAAAAAAATCTAAAGAATTTGGAAAGTTCTCTGTCCATCCGCTCTTGCATTCCGCTGATTTAAAGTGTGTGTTTTATCTGAAACCACCTTCAGTCAAATGAAAATTTGTCCTGCGAAAAATGTAGTTTTGTAAACACAAAAAAAGAAGCCGAAATGATGGAATTACTTGATAGTGGTGCTGCTGCAGTCAGGCCCACCCCATCTCGTTGATTCGATTAAAATCTATTCTCACTACAGCTTTCTGTCACCTTTTCAAAGCATTCAACTGCGAATGAAACTGCTCGCAAGTTCATGTAAAAAAATTGATTTCGAATCCCAGGTAGCACTACCACGCATAAGTAAAGCAGGTACGTGATTACAGTCGGACTAGCCCTACCACATGCGGCCGATATCATGTAAAGACTTCTATCTGACTAGCAGTGAATACTGGGGAATCCGAGTGTGCAACACCTCCAAAGAATTCGACTAATTTAAAAGAGCAGAAATTCATCAGTATCAGCAAAGCCGTATACAATCGGAGCAGTTATGATGGTGCCTCATCAAAATACTGAAATGGCTGTTAATAAAAACGATCTAGGAAACTCAGATTTCAACGTACGAGCAGTGCAACAGTGCATTAAACTGTCTGGGAACCAACACCTTAGCAAATGAAACATCTCTCATGCAAAAGATCGGCCGCAAAGGAATAAATGCAATAAAACAGAGAAGTTAGACAGAAACCAAAGTAGCCGTAAATCCTGGAGCACAGTCCTTCCAAATTTGTTTCAGATTGGATCAACAACAGTCATTCGGACACATCGGCAGAAAAGAACCAATAGTCGGGAGAATTTACTGCAAAAAATACGCAAATTTTGGAAGAAAATCCATATTATGATGGGTTCCAGTTGGCAAAAATTTGATACTACTTTCCATATCGCCATATGATTCACTGAATTTTGTATGTCGGTTCTCTACTGTTTGCTAAAAATAAAAGTTCGCCGATGCAGGGGAGAGGGAAGTGTATGTCTGCGGATTTATCGCGATCTAAAAGAACAGTTCCTAAATGTAATTGGTCAATATACGCCCCAAACTACTTTTTCTATTCAGTAACAAACCAGAAAGCTAAATACTTGTTTCCCATCCCCAGAAAAAAATTTTTTATTGTACTATTTTATGCTTCCTGGATTACTGGTAATTATTACTAGCATTCAATTATCTAATAAACATTACTTCTTTTCAAAACAAAAAAAAGTGCCGAAAGTGTCTGTGCATGAAGAGGGAGTCTTTCACAGCCCGAAAAAACCGTGGTAAGGTACTATCCACTCCCACATACTTTTGGATTAATTGTAGTACTTACTGACACAGGAAAAGATTGCGATCAGTAACAGTAAAAAAAAACTGTTAAATAGTGCAAAACCTGATAAGAACTGCATTAGGCTTTACTGCGCGATTCACTTTACCGCTCAAGCAACATTGAAGCAGGTAAGACCTAAGAATAAACTGAGTCACGATTTCCCCCTCTTCATCGAATGCACCAAGCAGCAGTGGTTGCGCAATGCCTTGGCCACTGTGCAAGCTTCACGCACGCAGTGCTTATAGCAATCTTTGCAATGGATGGATAGGATGACCTCCCACCTAAAGCGATCCTAAGGAAGTGTAAGAGCGAAGCCAAGGATGCAACCAGACGCCGGAACGAACGCATCGAAACTGGCGCCTTCCAGAAGCTGACCACTGGCGCGGTGATGGATGTCCATCAAAGAGTGGCAGACACGATGGGGTGAAGTGTTCTCAAGTCTGCCTGACAGGACCCATTGCTCACTTAAACGGATTATTTATGTAAGCGTTTGTCGGGCCTGTCACCATTGATCATCGAAAGTTTCACATCAATAACGCGCCATCACCAAGCATCAATTCCCTAATTTCCCAATGATTTGCAACACTGCTCCCACCCCCCTCCGTGTATCCTATAATTTATGTGACGCTGATTCGACAGCATAAATTGACTCGGTTTCTTCCGTCACCCGCTATGCCTATTTCGCATCAAAACTTGTTCCTTTTCGAAACAAACACGTTGAAAGTGATCCCTCTGGAAAATCTCCAGGCAACACGCTCGCACCACTGCGACGATAAAGGATCAACTGCATTTTCTGTTCCAAAAGAGCCATGCGTTATGGCGTTTTCCCGTCTCCGCTGCGCACCTGAGATGTCTCGTGACAGACTGAAAGCCTCAGCAGTATCGACTTAACGTTAAAATAGAATCAGTTAAGCTAGAACTTTGACCCTTCCGAGCCGAAGCTTCCACAGCTCAGTTCAGTGCGACCTGCGCAGTACTATGCTCCCAGACGACACACGAACCCAACAACATCGGCCTGTCCTTTAATTATCAAAGTACCACACGTGAGTAAAGAAGTATGCGAAGCATGTGAATTCGAAAAGCAGAATACTCCAGCACCTCCTCCAATTACTGACCCCTTGATAGAAGTAATATCAACCACTCACGCGTAAAAGCCATTTAGCAGATTAACGGAAGAGTCGAGGCACCCTCATCCGTTTTGCTCACAGACATGCACAGAGCGGTGATCAACTGCTCAATTTTATATGGTTCAGTGGCTTATGAATACGATGCTGGCGCACAGCGATTAGCCATTATTTCACATTCCCTAGCGCATCACAGTGACCGAAACAACAGGAAGAAGTTGCGGCATCAGTTCGAGGATCATCTACCTAACAAACTATAACAGAATAATGAGCTCAGCTGTAGCCATGCGCATTTAGTGGCACTACAGTCTCATTTCGCTTACAAGGCAAGAAACTTCTGATCGTTTAAACTATTTTTCAAGTCAGGCCTGTGCTCCTCTGTCATTAAAGGAAGCAAAAAACGAGCGGACAAATTCGGACCAACAAACAGTGAGGAAAAGAATCCAACAGCAAGATTAGCGGATTTGGGAAACGGTAGAAAAATTCCACAAATCAAGCAAAATTCTAGGAAAAACTTGGGTAGATGTGGCCCGGCAAAGCACTATTACGGAGCAGGCGCGTTAGCAGCACGCGTGCTGCGCTTCCAATACACCATTACAGTAGCGCCTTACTGAGACAACTATTGCCCAGTAAAACACTGACTGCATTTGCGATGAGTCTTATTTACGCCGCTCAAAGGACACAAACTTTGAAAGGATTCTGACGAGCGCGCTCAAGTACCATACTTCGAAAGGTAAGCACAAACATGTGCCTTTATAATAATTGGCTTAATG